ATGGCGGCCGCTCGCAGTCTGGGCAGAGACGTCGAACCGGATATACCGATGGTCCGACAGCGTCTCCACCTCTGCGGCGACACGCCAGTCGCGGACTCGGCTGCCGACAGAGGGACTAGCAAACGAGACGTCCACTATCGACCCACCCCGCTGCCGCACGCACGTGTATTCCGAACCCCGATGCAGGACGACCAGACCAGTCGTCACCGTCCCACTCTTCTAACACCTCGCCCCGAGGGTCAGTGACCGGAGATCCCCATGCCGATGACTTGGCGTTGAGATCCCCGAGCACCAGAACGGGACGAGAATGATAGCGGCCTACGACGGCGCCCAACTCGACAAAGAAACCCTCAAAGTCGGCGAGACTCTTGTTGGGGGAGAAATACGCCCCTACAACAACGATGCCGCCCGAGACCGCAGCAACCCAGCCGCGGCCCCGAGACGGGTCGATCAGAGTCTCGCCAATAATGGCCACCAAACCGTCAGCGCATCCCAACCAGTTGTCACGGGCGGGAATGAAGTACGGTTCGGCGACCACAGCCACGTGAATCGACCACTCTGCCATGCTCTGGAGTAGGAGATCCTGAGCTCTGGCACAGTGGTTGATGTTGCCCTGGAGAAAATGGAATTGTGCCGTTACTGGCATTCCATTCCCTCGGCAACGGTCCTGGGCCGGGAGTCGGCCGCGGAGCTGCTAGCCTGCGGGGGCAGCGAGGTTAACCCGGCAGGCTTAGTGCTCCTCTTCTTTTCCTTTTTCTTCTTCTTGCTGGCAGGCGCCCCACAGGCCCCTCCGCCTACCCTGTGCTCCGCTGGCCTTCCCGCAGCAGAACAAAGGCTGCAGTTGAGCGCCGCGGAGCACAGGGCAGCCTTGTGGCCAGGCTGGCCGCAGCGATAACAGAGGTCACTACGGTCAACCTCGGCGGTGCACTTCGCCCGGACGTGCCCTTTTTCCAGGCACCGAAAGCACTGCAAAGCCCGGGGCTGTAAGAGCTTGGTCCTTGCCGCCACCCAGCCTACCAGCAATCTGCCGCTATCGGCGATCTTCTTCGCCGACGCTACAGGGCACCGAACCCAGACCGCGCCGAGTCCGGTGGCGTCAGTGCGTATATCGCCAGCCCGCACCTTGTCCGGCGGACACTCTCCGCTTCTGGCAACGGCCGCCACCACCTCCTCAGAGGTCACGGAGTCGTCCAGGCCAGCAATCCGCACCTCTGCGGTTTTCATTGGTCTGGAGACCCGGACGTCCTCAGGGTTGAGGACCTCCCTCATCTTGGCGGCCAGTGCGTCCGCCTTTTCGGCACTGCCGCTCACAGTACCAGCCACCTCGAACAGCCGTGCACCCGTGGCAGCCTGCCTAAGGGTGACGGACTGAAGGCCAAGATCAGATAATTTGATCTTGGCCTTGGCCTCAGCGATGACCGACTAGTACGTCACGCCACGCTCCACGGCTCCGGGCTGCAACGTTAGCGTCACAGCGTTGGACCGCGGAACATGTACAGCCGGTCTCTTGCGACCGCCATTGGCAGTCCGCCGTGCAGGTTTAGGAGCCGTCTTTGCGGTTCCACCTGGGGCATATGCAGCTGCTGCGGCCTTCTTGGCGGCTTTGCGGGCCTTCTTGCGGCCCACGACTTTCGCCCAGGTCTCACCCTTAGACCCGGCAGTCGTGGGCTGGTTGCTCGGAGGAGCTCCCTCCGCGGGCTTTTTGTTACCCTCCGCGGGCTTCCCCTTTTGAGGCGCAAGTTTCGGCGGCTCCTCAGTCCTCCGCGTGTCAGCCGCTAAAGGTGGACGGAGGATTTCCGCCGGGAGACGCCGAGAAATTGCCTCCAGCCGAACGTTAACCATGCTCCCGCACTGGAGCATGCAGAGCCGGACAATGCGCTCGACCTCTTCGTCGGTACGAGGGCTTGCCGGTCGCGGTGCGGGAGTCGGGTCCACTACAGGTGCGGCATTGCTGGACGTGCGTTGCTGCTGCTGCTCGCTTAGCGCAGCAACTTACCGCCGGAGGTCCTCCAAGTCATTTCTGAGGCGGCTGTTTTCCTCCTGTAACTTTGCGACCTCGTCAGAGGCCGTCCTGTTGAGGAGGATGCCAACCGCCTCCCTGATATCCGCGGCAGCCTCCTTTAAGCCACGGGTGAACGTGCCCTTCAGGCTGCCGGACTTGGTGGCAACCTTCAGGACTAAGTCCACCCCATCCAGAGCCAGCTGGCTTAAGGCCACCGCAGATGGCTCTCCCCCTTCCGCCGCAAGAGCAGCTCGTCGCTCGCGAGCACGTCGGGCCATTTCCGACACTTCGTCGGCCGCGACGGCTTTGCGCTGCTCCATCTTGGCGGCATTGAGCTCCGCCTTTGTTCACTATTCGCCTCGTCCAACTTCGATCTATTTCGCCAGTAGTGTAGAGGAGGCATAAGAACTATATATCTACTAAAATATAATGCTTCCTCTACACTACTCGCGAAGTAACTTCGACGAAGTGCTCGTCAAATTCGATCGCAGTCCGAAGAACGTGACCACACACTCGTGCTACTTCGCGAAGAGCTCAGTCGTCTTGAGACTCCCGCACACTTAACATGAATGACGTTCAAGAGGCAGCTGCTATAGGTACCTAATTGTGTGAACAGTACGACGTCAATGCGTTAACTAAATAAATAATTATGTAGAAAGCTACATATTTAATATTTATATATAAAAAAATATTCATAACTGGCGTAAGCCGAGTAGTGTAGAGAGACGCTTCGTGTAACTTCGGGGTACTTCGCGAAGTCCTTTGACTCTGGCGCAAAAAACCGACAGCTATCGGAAGTCGCCCGAGGCGAAGCTAGGTTGGACGAAGTGAATCGAAGTACCTCCACACTATTCGCCTCGTCCAACTTCGATCTACTTCGCGAGTAGTGTAGAGGAGGCATAAAAGTTAGACATATGGTGTCGCGGACTTTTTTGGCATACATTGTTTTGTCTTCACTTATATACAACACAAAGATATTTTATAGGTCAAAACATCTTTGTATACAACCATTTAGGCGGCGCTCGCGAAGAATACTGTTAGAATGGCGTTGTAAGAATATCTACTACCCCATATCGTCCCGCAGCTCTCATTAGAAGTGACTGATGAAAACAAGCCAGAAGTAGGCAACAGCGTCCTCCTAATAACAACAAATAAATAAAAAACTTGGCAACCGCACCACATCTGTCATCAGCGTGGCAACTATGGCAAATGAGACAATTTAAGGAGAGCTATGTTCAGCAATGGACTTTTTATAGGCTGTTAACGGTAATTATATTGGCTCCTTTACTCTTTAAATCAGAACGCAGCGATAGATATACTGCGGCTTGCTGGAAGAAGTAGATAAGAGAGTGGCAACCCAACTAGACAACTTCCTATGCACAAATGTGCTCTACCACCTAGATTAGAAAATATAAATTATATATAAGTGACGGCGTACAACTGTTTATCCCGATCTCATACTAGTACTGTAGTAGTCTAACCTTGTCATACTTATGTCAGAGCAAAATACATAGAACTGCAAGGAAAACTAGCATCAAAAGCGTAAGATATCTGGTACCACGTTGCTAATCCAGTGATAAGGTGCCTTCCTATAATAGGAGTGGTCGGTGCCCCAAGTATTCGTCTGTTCCTCGCAGTGGATAAGAAAAAGCCATTATTTACAAATTTATTCTGCTTTTCAATAAGGTCCCGTAGTTAACAAGAAACCTTTATAGTTTCGCCATGTCCGTCCGTCCGCTTTTTAAAGCGGACAAAGTAGTAAGCAGAGACAAAGTAGGCAGAGAGGATCGATCACCAAGAGACATACCACTTTCGCATATTTTTTAGTTAGTAGTTATTGTAGGCCTGCAGTTTCATTCATGGTACTCTTGGTATGCATGGGCGGCCCTAAGTACAATTTTAGTGGTGGTTTAGGGGATGGTTTGTTACACCCATGTATCTGTATATCTTAGGGTTGCACTGCCGGAACTAATAGATGGAAAGGGATATTATTAGTACAGACTTGGCATGTGAATTATTTGATGTAGATGATGTTGATTTGTCGAACAGTTTTTTTAATTTTTGAATACCACTCCGCACAAGTCTGCTTGGAAAATAAGTTTTTCAGATTCCATCCTCCTATTTGACCCCATTTTAGTCGTATTTGGTTTTTTAAGTTCACGTATAGTGATGGGCAACTACGGAATCTTATCTCAACATTGTTTGTGGCCTGTCACGCACTTGACCGGTTTTTAATTTTATGCATGACAAGTTTTAATATAGATCATGCCCTTACAAATATGTATTATTTGGCACAATGACGTGTATGCTGTGGTTTTACCTCCATACACTGTCTTTTATTGTCTTTCTGAACTTTCGACTAGTTAAAATTAAGTGATGAATTGTCTCATGCTGTTTTTGCACAATGAGAACATAAGGCAACCAAGCAGGAACTATCTAGAGTATCTTTGACTCAATTGATTCATAATGAATTGCATAGTAGTACTTTTACACTATAAGCTCTTGTTGTTTAAAAGTTAATCTCATTTTTAACCAACTTCAAAAAGGAGGAGGTTATAAAATAGAGTGTTTTTTTTGTCTATATGTTTTGCAATATCTTCGCAGGTTGTGAACCAATTTTGGCGATTCTTTTTTTATTAAATAGGCTATACTTCATAGGTAGCCCCATATGAACTTGGAGAAAAAATTTCACCCCCAAGGGTAGCAAAGAAATAACTTCTTTTTTGTAATCTTAAATCGGTTGTTATTTTTGTTAAAAGCTATAATTATTGTTTTTGCCTTGCTTAATCTTAAGGTAAATAATGTGCTTTCAATGGTTCTGGCATAAACAAAAATGAAATGTTATAATATTTCGTTTGTGGAATGCAATGTTGCATATTGTCAAAATGAATACCATAATGTAACTAGAGAGAACTCCATTTATTCATAAAATTTAAATACATCTGTTCAACATCATACAGATTTTTTCCACTGCAAACATCAGATCAAATTAAATCTGTCACTCTCTATGTACTAGCACATAAATAGCTAAACATCCCAACACAGCAAACTGAAAGAAAAAAAATATTATTACAAAAGAATAAATATTTTTACGTTATTACGTATTTTTTTACGTGGTAGAGCTATGCTGCAGCTATATTAGTAGTATAGTTGTAGCACTAATGGGTCGGCTCGACCGGGGAAGGACCACGCTCTCACAGAATACCAGCGTAAAATAGCAGCTTAATGCTGCTGTGTTTCGTATGGTGGGTGTAGAGAACCGGAGACCCTTTTTACTGGAAAAGAGGTATTCCATCTTAGTCCTCACGGGTGACAACGCATCTGCATTTTGATTCGCAAACGAGGATAGATATGGATGTCTATGGGCCACAGCAACCACTTACCATCAGGTGGACTGTGTGCTCGTTTGTCACTCTATCCTATAAAAAAAATGTTTTGTAAATAATATGTTTCTTTGTGTGGTTGCCAACCCGGGGCCAAGCGTTGCAACTATGACAAAATTCCTATGAAGCAATCTATAGGGCAGGCCTATGCTCAACAGTGGACTTTTATAGACTGTCATGAATGAATGGATGCCATTTTTTTTACACATAAGAATTATGATTTAAAGAAATGAACACCAAGAAAAACTTAAGTTTTTTTTTTCTTGGTGTTATCACGTTTTACGTATGAAATGAAATATCCCCTCAACAGTATACGATAATTATACAGGGTTATTTTACAATAACCGGCCAAATTTGCAGAGGAGGTTCAGAACAGATAACAGAAGCTAATGATGAAAAAAAAAAACAAGAAAAAACTGAAACATCCTTTATATTCAAAATGTGTGGAAATGCATTATTTTAATTGCTTGTCATTCATAAATATGAAGCGCCTACTATTTTATACGCATGCACACATTCTTAAAGGACCGTTGAGTTCCGAAGCAGCTGTCGGTGCCAACCGGTACACGCGCTCGGTTAGATTTAGGTATCTAATAGTTGTTTTGAATCGGTAAAAATAAACAAGTCTCCCCCGCCCTTTCCCTTCCAATACACTGCTGGGTACGTTCACCTGGCTGGCCGAGACCCGACAGTGTTGACTTGATTGTGACCTCATTAAGTACCGAGTGTCCTATTTTTACATTTTCGTAGGTAGTATTACTTGTCACAGCCAGTACTAAGTCTGGAAACTACTAAATTCTTCTGGATATCACCCATTTCATTACCATAGGCATAGACATAGACAAGTTTACGTCGAAGAGGCCCAAAGCTATGACAACCTCCACAGCAAAATAATTGCTGCATTCATGGAAGTGGAAAATGCTCCGACACATGTAATTAATGTGAAAAATAATTTAAGGAAACATGTTCAACTGTTCATTGTGAGAAACGGACTCCATTTTGAACACCTATTAAAATACTGCAAAAAGTGTATATCAGTATTTATACTTTGAACTTCATTATTAAATCTGGATGGTCTTTGAAAAATAACCCTGTATATATTTATATCTTATATGTATCAACCATTGTGGCTTTATTTAACTGCCCAATGAGAAATAATTCACTTAATTGGTGTTTTCTTTAAATATATGGGTATAAATGATATGGTTTATACAATAAAATATAATAAAAATGTTTTTCTTGTCTAAATTTGTATATTATTATAACATTAGCACTAAAATCGGAGTATGTCAGAAATTGACCGCCGCAATGGATTACAGTTACAGATCTTCAATATTTGAGACAGCCGGGATGGATGACATTTTTACTGTTGAAGGGTTATAAATGCAATTCTGAGGTAGAGTTGGGCTAAATAGCTGTGCAAGTGTACCGCACATCTGCATATTAATGACACCACAACCTTACCTTGACTTCATGCTATGAAAAATATTACGTATCTTTGGATGTAGGCCATAGAAACTAATTTTTAAAATACTCTGACAAATATAACTACACAATTAAAAAGAACGTTGAAGTTTTATAAAACCACCAGTACCTTAAACTTAGGATATTCATTCATATATATTGTGACCATTCCAACATATGGCAAAAATCCTCTTGCACGACCAACAACATCTTTTTTTGTTAACCATAACTGGCCTTGTGCATATAATCCTCTGTCATCTACACTATTGTTGTCTCCTTTTGTGAGAAATTTTACCGTACCATTATTTCTGAAAGTTTTAAATGATAATACTTTACTTATTCAATAATAAATAAAATTAAAAAATGGGTAACATTGTAATTTATACTAATGTTTAATGCTTTAGTTTTACATTAGTAGCATTCTTTTATAATATACAATATTAAAAAACTAATACTAATAACTTAATTATCATACAGTATCCCTATGGTATTGTGCCAAGAACACTGTCTGCGTTTCCTAGCTGAATAGCTATACCTAGCCTTTGAGGGAGAAAAGAACCAGCCCTCTTATCACCAGCAGCAACAACCAGTCGCGGGTAGAGTTCCTTTAGGTACTTCACCATATGTGGACCCCATGGACCAAATAGTCTCTACAGCAAATGGCACAAATATGTAGTGATCTCTCAGAAATTCATATTTGCACCACTTAGATCAGCTGCCTTTGATGGTCCCCTCTAAACGAGGTACCTCTGAGATAAGAGGTCGCTAAAGTGTCTACGCAAGTAGCATCCCACACTAGGTCTAGGTCTCTTGCCATCGTCTCTAAATATTCGACAAGGCTCTAAAACCGAGGGAACATTTATAGATAGAGACAAGAGGCCTTCGGATGACATCGTTCAAAGAAGCGTGCTGTTAAAACCTACCAGCACTTTCTAACATGAAAGTCTGTGGAGACCAAGCTCGTCGACACTGCTACCATAGGGTATCAGTAAGTTGAGGAATCGCTGATCCTAGTTGGATTCCCACGGCGAATCTATGTTTAATTGCTATAATTAGGTAACATAAAGCAATTTATCACCCCATTTCCTCATAAAGGTATTATTGTGAAGAATACTATACTACTACACTAAAAGATATGCCAGAAACATATTGCTGATTTTACCATCTCATTCAAGACAGACATAAAATACTAGACTGGCAACAGAGAGTAGCAGCAAAAGTGTAATATATTTTTAACTGCAATCACCATTTCATCTTCCAGGTATGGCAGCTATTGTAAGCCCATCTACAATGGAAGTAGCCCACATCTGCCAGTAAACTTTTATGATTTCATGAAGAAAATATTTTAATAATGTGATTTTAATGAACATGTTGGAAATAACTTGCATAATTAATCTAGCGAACATTTCAAAAATATATCTAAAATTTTCATTAAAATTCTAACCTCTACATGTGATATTAGGTGAATAAAGGTGGAAATGAATATAAAATTAAATTCTTACTTTTCATGAAGTTTTAGCACCCTATGCACAATAGGAATATCGCGTCCTTCGACCTTAAAAACAACAATTTCACCAACCCGCACTGGCTCCTCTGGATAATTTGTTAAAAACAAAAGATCTCCCCTGTGAAATGCTGGTTCCATGCTTCCAGATAAAACAACCACAATTGGACTTTCACTACCAGTAACAACCATTAAGCCCTTCCATATCATTAGAGCGGACGATACTATCATACCAAAACTAAGTACTTGGTAAATGAACTGAAAAATAAAAAATAATCTTAAAAACCCGGTTCGTGGTCACGTCATCTTCGTAATATTGAACAAAAACTACCTGTCGCTTGTTCATACGCTTCACTTCGTCAAATAAGCTGTCCAACATTTTGACTTTGAATCGTTTAAACGTATAGTTTAATAACAATAAAATTTCAGTAACAATTACTCTCAGTATTTATTTCCAGATTGTAGCACAAAACGATTGTAGTTGTAAATTTTAGCACCACGTCAGATATAAATGTCAAAGTCAAAACTTTCAAAAGTCAATTTTTTTTTATAACTGCCTTTATGGCTCTGGGTTCTAACCCTTCTAGCCTGAAGTTACAATGTATAATAATTATCCTTCATAGTAGACTGCTTCACAATATGTTGATGCGTCACATTGTGCAACCCTTCAGGTTTTGGCGGCAACTTGAGCCAGCAGACAGCTGACAATTGACGACGGTATCTCAAAGCGCCTAAGCAGACAGACACCTTATCACCACATCACAACATTAATGCTACTATTTTACGTAAGTATTCTGTGGAGAGTATGTTCATTCCCCGGTCGAACCGACCATAATATAGTTGCAGCATGGTTCTGGGTAAAGAAATCTAGTACGTAGAGTAGAGAGTAAAGTGGATGATAAAATTTAAGAAATTGGCAAAATGACAAAGTCCTATGTTGCCAAACGTTAGATGAAAGAAAAAATGAAAAAAAAAACCAGAGCACCTGCTTCACCGTCTCCACTAACAGTTCACATGCGCAGACACTTAATGCACAAAATTGCACCACTTTTATATATCAAAATCCACTTCAAACCATTATTTAAACAATAATACAGTAGCAGCAATCCGCCGCCGGTCAAGTTCCCGCCAAAACTCTCAAAAGTCAAAACAGTCTTTATACAATACAGAGTAAGTATTAGAAGAGCACTATCCTTTTTGACATAAAAACTACAATAACAGTATATCATTATTTATATAATATTTGAACTTAAGTTTAAAATTTCGATACACTGAAAAATATTAAAGGGTGGTATTAAACTCCTTCTTCCAAAAGCGATCCGAACAAAAGTGAACTAGAATGAGTCCTGAGGGTTCTATGAAAAACGAGTTTCACTTCACTTTGATGACTTATTGCGCTGTTAAAGTGACACAGTAACGTTAACGGTCCGTACAACAACCGAAACGTAAACCACGCAATCGAGATATCTAAATACGTCTGTATGTATAAAAATCTCCAAACCACCGTACGGAGCCTAGATATGACCATCCGGTACTGGGTAAAACATTGCTAAACAATGTACCACGTAGCTCGTACAGATTTGACCATACAGGCTGTATTTAATTATTTTTCTACAAACGTTCTTTTACAGCTACTTGTCTTTTCAAGACTCAGCGATGCAACCGCTCCTTAGAGCGTCTTGTATAGTATCTAGGTGCTCGCCTCCACACAAACCCGGCCTCCCACACCGAGTGTAGGTAGCCGTTATTGGAATTTTCACTGCACATTCGGTCGAACAGTTCTGCATAAGGGAACAACGATATCGACACGTTCGGAACAGCCCTTCTAAGGGGGTAGCCCTTCACATCATCCGCCAACAGCTTGTTGCCACAACAACAACAAAAGTAATAGAAAACAAACACCCCCGCTTCCCGCACCTATCATTAGATGGCCACACCAGACTCCGTTCTCTCCGCAACTCTCTTTGTTTGTGTTTGCTCCTATTGGTATACGTGATAGAACCATGCTGCAGCTATATTAATTGTATAGTTGTAGCACGAATGGATCGGTTCGATCGGGGAAGGACGACGCTCTCACAGAATACCAGCGTAAAATAGCAGCTTAACGCTGCTGTGATTCGCATGGTGAGTGTAGAAAACCAGATATCCTTTTTATTGGAAAAGAGGCATTCCATTCTTATAATCCCCACGGGTGACAACGCATCTGCATTTTGATTCACAAACGAGGATAGGTGTAGATGTCTATGGGCTACAGCAACCACTTGCCATGTGTGCTCGCTTGTCACCCTCATCCTATAAAAAAAGCAAAACGCCTGACGATATTTAGAAGTAATATGGTAAAAAACCTTCCATCGCTTTCTTACAAGAATAATGAAAAACAATACTCCATACAAATAGTCATATTTGTATGAAGTATTGTTTATCTTTATTAGCAAAGAATTTAATAAAACATTTACTTCTAAAACATTCTCCAGTAACAGTCGCAAGGGATATATTAAGTTTATATGAACTTTAACATGAAAGATCATACAATCTTTCCGATACATTTAGAGTATACGTCAAAATTATTTTAAAATATTTAAATAAGTATGCTCCATTGTCAAATCTTTACATATTAGCAACAAAGTTATGATGGCTAAGAATAAAATTAAAATAACGTTGAGTGTAATTAATAGCGAAACCTATAAAAATAAACCTCGTAACACACACTATCAATTGAAAATTAACAATGAATTGAATTAATAAAATCAAGAAGTCGCAGCGGTCTTTGAGAAATATTTCACTGATATTTCTATCTTAACAATAGAGCCATTGAATCCTTCTCCAATGGTCGCAGAGTAGAATAGAATAGAATAATTTTTTATTCAATATTGATTATTACATAATACCTATTGAAAGTTATTTTTTATTTACCACTGGTTCGGAAAATACCTCTGTCCTGGGAAGAACCAGCAAGAAACCCAGCGGGACTTTTTTTTTCAAACATATTTCATTTAATCATTTCGTTTATACAATTTTTAAATGATTTTTCACAGTACCAGCATGGTGGTGATCACCTTAATCCCAGGGGTAATTTTCATTCATGTATTCCTTGATATTATAATAACCCTTCTTGTACAGTTTTCCTTCAATAAAACTTTTATTATTGACAAACTTTGAATATGTTCTGGAATTTTGTTATAAAAGCGTATACATTGCCCCCTAAATAAATTACTGATTCTGTGGAGTCTAGTAACTGGCATTACAAGCTTATGTTGGTTCCTAGTACTTAAAGTATGTACATCCTTATTCTTATTAAAGCTATTTATGTTTTTATGTACATACATTACATTCTCATAAATATATTGCGATGCCAAAGTTAATATGTTTATTTCTTTAAAATTTTTTCTGAAGGACTCTTTACAATTCAAGTTATAAATCACCAGTACGGCTCTCTTTTGCAAAACAAATATAACTTCGATATCAGTCGCATTACCTCATAGCAAAATTCCATAAGACATTTCGCTATAAAAGTGACTAAAATACACTAATCTAGCTGTCTCAACATCTGTTAGACTTCTAATCTTTCTTAGAGCATATGCTGCAGAACTAAGTTTGCTTGCTAATTTAGATATATGGGGGCCCCATCGAAGTTTCGCGTCAATAGTAATACCACGAAAAACAGTGGTATCCACAAGACTCAAATCCTCCCCATTTAACAGCACATTGGTATTCGAATGTTTTACATTAGGTATTGTAAATTTAATACACCGTTTAAGAGCATCTTGTTGGCGTTAAACCAATGTACCAATTTCGATAAAGCATTATTTACATCGTCATAATTAATTAACTGCCGTTTCCTTACTGAAACAATATATTGATACCTGTTCAAAAGAGTTTAGATTTGAAAAAGTAATATCACAAGGTATTGTAGAATATTTGAAAATCATTGATATAAAGGAAACTGGATTATTATGATTCCAAAGAGTATATGATTGATAATAATCGCTGGGAATGAGGTAATCTCTACCACGCCGTTTCTAATTGTTTTTCATACTTAATTGCATAAAATATTATATTGTGTGGTGTGGGCAATGCCAATCTTGTTAAATTCAACCTCCAAAACAACCTCCAACGAGCTAGGTCACCTTAGCTCCACAGACTAATATGATGCTTACGCATCCTTAGCTCCTTCTTTTCGAAATGTACAACTGGAATACACCGACCGCCTTCGATTGGGGTTGAGATTTCCTCAACCCTGAAAATCAGACAATTCATTGAGTCCAAAGCCAAAGCAAAGTAAATTAGGAGTCCAAATGTAAGGCCGTACTTCACGCCAGGACAGCTGCTTACTCTATGTAAAACCCAAGTTCGGTCGTGCATGGAGTACTGATGCCATACATGGACTGAAGCCCGCTTTACACTATGGGATATAATATAATATATATTACATCTCGAGATTTTAACAGTGGTAGAGCTAAGCGGTGGCTTTTGCAGTCGCACGGATGGGCCAGCTCGAACCGGGGTGGTACCACGACCTCACAGAATACCAGCGTGAAGTAGAGGTTTGCCTCTGCGTTGCGCTTGGTGAGTGCAGGTGGCCGGAGGCCAAATTCCCCCCCCCCCCCCATCAACATGGTAGTGGAATTAAATAAAAGACTACCCCAGGAGGGTACCAGCACCCCTGGAGAATCCCTCGCTGAGCATCCACGACCGAACTACTTCACTCCTGAGCGTGGGGACTTCATTCCAACCTTAACGCTGTCCATTACCATCCAGAGACGGCGAAGCCGGCCTTGCTCTTTTTAACCGAGACTCAGGTGTCCTCTCCGGCTGATACTTCATATCTCTCCTACCCGGGGTACAAATTGGAACACTCCTTTATGCCCCGGGCTGGAGTTTGCGTATACGTCAGAGAGGACATCTGTTTTCGACGCCTCGGCAGTCTTAAAGGTACGGACCTGTCCATCCTATGGCTGCGCGTAGACAGCGACGACCATCCCCGCGTCTACGGGTGCCTCTATAGGTCCCACAGCGGTAATGCCGACACAGACCGACTCATCGACCACGTCCAAATGGCTGCAGACTCTGTGCTACAACAGGTCCCATCCGCAGAGATCGTGATACTTGGTGATTTTAACGCCCACCACGCTGAATGGCTTGGTTCTCGCTTAACTGATCATGCGGGTAGATCTGTCTATGACTTTGCTTTGGCATATGGTCTAACACAACTGGTTACTTCGCCTACGCGGATCCCAGATGTAGAAGACAATGTACCTTCCCTGTTGGACCTTCTGCTGACCTCTCATCCGGACGGATATAAGGTCTCCGTTGATGCCCCTCTGGGCTCTTCGGACCATTGTCTGATCCGGAGTACGGTGCCACTCACGCTCCAATTGC